ATGACTACCTCAGATGCTGCCCCCCCCCTCCAGAGAAAAACCAATCATAGATAGAGGAGTGCTAATGATCTTATTTCTAATAAGATCAATCTTATTTATACGGAATCCCATAAAATGCTTCCTGCTAAGAGCAGGTGGAATGGACGGTTCAACAGAGCTATGGCTCTGGTTCGGTAGATTGTTACCTTGTTGTTTAAAATCTCTATCTTGTCCTGGTCCAGTCTGTGCTGGCGGTTGTAGGCCTCCATGGTGGCACAGGAGCGCTCGATCTCTCGGTTCAGGACGCAGACGATGTTCTCAAATGTGTTTACCTTCAGCTCCAGCTCTTGGCAACGTCGGCTCAGCTCCGCCACTTTGGTCTTTTCGCTCTGCAACTGTAGCTCCAGGGCGGCCCCCATGGCGCTGGGAAGTGGGGTAAAGGATGTGGCCAGGGTGAGAGCGCATGCACCCTGCATGGGGGCGGGGCCGCCACCGCTGAGTTGGCTCATCTTCATCTCCAGCTCTCTGAGGGACTGGTGGAGCACCTGCAACTTCTGGCTTGCCAGCTCCAGGATCTGAGGTTGTAGGCTTTCCAGACTCACTTTGATCCCCATGATGAAATGCAGTAACAGGTTGAGGTGTTCATAGGAACACTGCTGCTCATGGTCATGGATCTTCTCCTTTTCCACCTTAGGAACAACGATAGAAGCTTTCACACATTAGAAGAACAAAAAGCTGCGTTTCATTTATCATCCAAACGTATAAAAATTCTACCAGGATGCTTATTTGGTAAAACTATGATAGAAACATCTCATATTTTTTCCATGTTTGATGACTCAGATAGTGAATAATTTAATTATGGATTCATTATTAAGTGATTGATTATTAAGTGAATGTATTATATCTATATTTACTTTAATGCATCAATGCCGTGGATAATGCATGTTTTATTTGTACCTTCTGACAAAGTTCACATTGAGTTTTATAATCTGCTAAAGATCATTAAGTGCAGAGAGACGACTGAGTAAACCTTTAAAAATGTGTAATTCAGCGAAGCATTCGCCATGTTTTACTTAATCTGAGGTTAGCAGATAGCTACAACATAAAACCTAACAGACAAATTGGATAATTCTGACTTTTGCTGTTTCTAAATGTTTGGTGAGACATTTGCAAATGACTTAAAGGGCGACGTTACTCAGAGATTGAGGTCGGAACGGTTGGGAATTGATAAGATTTTCACGATTCCGATTCCCTTATTGATTCTGTGAAACTGTTTGATTTCTTATCGATTCTCTTACTGATTCTGTGATACGATGAGCTTGGTAAGCACTCGGTGACATTCGTCTAACCCTAACCCTGGGACGTTCCATCTCTGCCTGCCTCGGTGGAAACAGAAGGCAGTGAACGGGAGCGGCAGCCTCTGATCCAGCCAGGCTACCCGCCTCCTCACAGTCATCTAAATCTAATGGAGAAGGCATCCGTTTAATGGAAAAAACATTATCTCTAGAAATAAACTCATCTCCCCCTGATTTAAATAAACGAGCGTCACCTTTGTCTCGCTCCCTGAACTGCAAAGCAACTTGTTGCGTGTTTAATAACCCCAAAGAGAGGAAGGAACCTGGTTTATTTCCAGAAATGGCTTCTGATTCACCAGGAAACACATTAAGCTCAGCCAGGGATAGAAAACTAGCTGCTAACCAGAGTTTCCTTCCATGCTGGTCGTAACTTTAGCTTCTGTCCGGAAGCATCAGAAACACAGCAATCGTTTCGTTCATATGTATGACATGTTGTGTGCGCAGGTGTTTCTGCATGTTGGATGCATTTCCTCCCGTGGATGTTATTGCCACTTTACATCCAAACTATCGATCGTATACCCGATGGAACGCCATTTCTCATGTTTTGCTTCTCTAGACTTACGCCTGGGGTAACTTGCATAAAAAAAACCGTAACTTTCGTAAAAAAGGTTTAACATTTTCTGATCAAATCTGATGCAACAAATCAACAAATGCTTGAATCAGTCACTAGGTGGCATACTTTAGCTTCATGCAGGAGAGCTCCCTTCGTTTCTCTTCTAGTTTTAATGGATCTGCTTTATTCTGCCATGATGATGGAGCGGTTATCACGTTAGCCGCTCATGCACATATAACAGGGAGAAAAGTCTCTACTTACAGACGTATCGCAGCCAACAACATGAAATCTGCACGGCGTTTTAAATTTACTGCAGAACTTAATATGGTCCACATACTGCAAAACAAAAGAAGCAAACGGAGTAAAAAACGTCAGAGTTGGACGTGAATGCAGAGGCGGAGCCTGATGGAGCGGCGCCGTACCTTTTCACGAGGAATCTTTTTCTTGGCACAGCCCTCGCAAATCATCGGGTACTTGGGACAGATTTCATCGTGAGCCTATGAGGAGACCACGCATCAGTCAGAAACTTTAACTCAGGAAAATCTTTAATTTTCACAGATTAAAGGTCATTAAGTTCAAATTCAAATCCATGCTTTTAATGGGAGGAGAGAAGGAAAAGCTAAATATTGGAGGTTTCAGTGAATCCAGAAAGAATTCCCAGCTGTGAACTTGTTCCTCGTTTAGGTCCAGCTTTCCTTCAGCTGGTATCTAATCCCATCTCGCCATCGACAGAAAGCTTTTATTTATTTTTACTGGATTTATTTTAATAATCTAAGCTACGTCAGCCTTAGTTCAATATGAAGTTGGCAACTTCTCCAGCCTCAGGTCTCGTTGAATCGGAGTCCATTTGGCTCGTTCTTCTAACCGGAACGTCTCCATGGTGATGTGGAGATGTCTGAGCAGATATGTTCTATCAGATTTAGGTCTGGATTCTGTCTGGGCCAGTCCAGGACATCCAGTGGTTCTGATCCACTGCTATAAGGCTTTCCTCTTCCCTAACCCATCTGCTACTTCCTGCTGCTAAATAACATCCTACAGCATGATGCTGCCTCCACCATACCTCCCTGTAGGGATGGTACCAGCCAGGTACCCAAATACGATGTTTTATGTCCATCTGCGACCTGGATCCGATCTTTTCATGACAGTCTGAACCACATAGATCTGATTTGTTTCAATGCGATCCAGGACACTTGGCTCTGTGCTCCTGAATTCGATAAATATCTGATCTTTTCTAATGCGATCTGTGTCTGAACGGCCAGGTCGCATTCATCCGACCTGAACGGCATTAATACTAAACACGGGTCACTGTTCTGCATCTGGCTACGCAGAAGCAGGAAGAAAAACAACATGGCCGACGATAATGCGGAGAAAATTATTTATATTGAAACGATTGAGTTTTAAAGGTTGGGAAAGATCTCTAGATGCGCTCCAGCGCTACCATCCATGTTTACTTCTGTAAACACAGAGCATGCTGGCTACCTGTGACATCATGGCGCCCTCTACTGCGCATGAGGGACACTAGCGTTGTATAAATGCAGTTCACACAGGAGATCACATACAAGTCGCATTTGGAAATGTAAACAGCAACGCAAAAAATATCGGATTTCACAGATAAATGGGAAC